ATTCTCAAAAGAGGAAGAGGTGACGATCAGGATAGGTTTGTTCAGTTTCTGAGCTGAGATAATAAATGCGGTTATCCGTTATCAGAAACCGCCATATACGACTCGCACTACGGTGTTAGGATAAATACCTATAAGTGACAAACGCAAAAACAGTGTATGGTTTGACGCCACCCACATTTTACTACGTACTGCGGTTGTAACGCAGGATTTACAGTTTGGTCAAACATCCTACTTAACACAAAAGCGAGTATCCACCTGGCTATGGTCCTAACAACGATCTTCTACGGGACGGAGACTTTCGATTTAGCTGCATCTGAGTAATGCTGAGGATGAGGTGGCAGGAAAGCGTTCCCGCAATGTGATCCTGGAAAACGGAGGCATTCTCAGTATCCACGCTGTGTCGAGGAAGACACAACTGCGATGAAGCGGTCATGTCGTGAGACTAGACGATGGACGCGTGCCAAAGCGGCTATTCTACAGTGAGGTAGCTGCGAGTAGTTGCAAGCAAGACAGACAAGAGCGTCTCAAAAAGGACACTGAAGACTCGCTCAAACACCTGCAAATCAAAGATGAGACTTGAGAAGACCCCGCTCAAGATCGAAAGGCGTGGCGCACTGCTGCGCAGGGTGGAATGACCTTTGTGGTCAACAGAACAGCCGTTGTCAAGGGAGGAAAGAGGTCCACAAGACTTGAGCACCACGGACCAGCTACGGAGGCCCCCTGCCGTCGTGTTCACATTGTCGACGGACATTCCGGGCAAGGATTGGCCTCGTTTGACATCTCCGAACCCAGTTCAATGTCGAGGCGACCAACCCACGTCTCATCCTACAATAAACCATCAGTAGCATCACTGGTGGAAACATTCCTATCATGCTGCAAAACGTCACCAATATTTTCCCCTACCGCCGACAATGTATACTCAATTCTGACCTGCTTCCATTGCGACCGCATATTTGACTCACTCAACGGTTTGGTCGGTCACCTGCAAATCCATCACACCGAGACCTGAAAAACTATGTTAGGACCACCTTACTGCACTCGTCCCACCTGTCCAGTCTGCTGCAGAACACTGGGCCGTCGCACCGGTCTGTGCAACCGTATTCGTCCATATGAAAATGTTAGATGGAAAACCACAATCTAAATGCAACTATCACACTTAGGTCCACCTGTTAAAAGCACGCCTTCCAGGGCTGCATCTGAACCTACTCCATAACCCGGTTCTTATCAGGTCTAAGAGCTAGGCTGCAATAGCTCATTGTCAGTGTGGCCCTAATGACACTCTCACACTTTTGAGATCTGAACCGCTCCTACAGAAGCCTGGCATATTCTGCGAAAACCAGATCATGTGTGCCACACGTGGACGAGCTGCTCAGCCCTTCCAGCCACTGCACTCAGGCCTTACTATCGCGACAAAGTGGGCAAGGACGAGCGAGTGCTGGAGAGGCGGTAAAAGTCTGCCTCATCATAAACTAATTCAGCCGCAAGTTACCGGTGCCGCACCCACTCCGTGTGGCACGCGGCGAACCTGATCGACTGCAACGCTGGGCCTGTCCTGGCTGAATAGATATGCTATCCAACGCGTTAGCTACCATGCGGCCGAACTGAGCCATCGCTTTGATGGGATTTTAGTTGACGTATTGCCAAACTTCCTGGTCCCATAATTTTTCAGAATAACCCATCCTCAGAATGCTTCACCATAAGAGACCTAGGTTTAAGTTGTGCAAATAAGCTTGCTTTATCATCTCATGCAGACAGAATCTCTGCCAAAACCGCACAACTATGTGGGTTGATATCGCTTAATTTTTTTCTTCCGGAGGTGAAGCTAAGACTTTATCAAATGTTTTTTCTTCCAGTCCTCGAATACTGCTGTCCTTTCTCCGGTTTAATGAACGCCTGTGACCGTCATAAAATCTAAAATGTTCAGAGAGTCTTCACCCCGAAACGGTTCTCTCAAGTCGCATCCGGTACTTCTTATACTCAGAGATGTCAGCTTGCGAACGTCAAGTTTTTGTGGATTAAAAGACTCGAAGTTGGCCTTTGCTTCCTTTTTCGCATTAATTCTAGCTCCGATCTTCTGCTCATTGACGCCTTCGCTCCGAGAGATCGGTCTTATGGCACGCGCCATTCCACTATGGTGATTCCGCCGCCTCTTTGCACTACATCTGAGCGCTCCCTCTTCTTTGCTTTCAAATATGCCTTCCTTTGGAATAATCTTCCGCCTGAAATTGGGTCATCGCCTGAGTTACTGGTATTTAGGTCGAAATTACGCAAACACCTTACACCGGAAAGTATAAAGGCACTTTCAACGGTCTCATTCCCGAACACTCAGGTCCTTGACTTCGAGAAGGGTCCTCCTAGAATTTAGTGGTAGATCAAGTGGAAACCCTCAATTATATGTTTACAAACCTTGTTTTAAATTGGTTGCCATCCAGCGCGTTAGCTACCATGTGGCCGAACTAAGCCATCGCTTTGATCGGATTTTAGTTGACGTATGCTCATGAATGCTTTTCGAGAGGAAACAATGACCCTTAAGTGGGAGAACGGATTAATGCCAGCAATCTGTATTATGACGGTGGGGGGCGCTCACTGACCGTTATTACGGATGTGCCTTACGGGCTCTTTCTCGAGCCCAACCAGGTTCCGCACTGCGGCGCACGATATAGGCAGAATGGCATTATCGACAAAGACAAGGGAGAGCGTCCCCTACCATTGTGCATTGCCGATCGAAAACCGACAGAGCAACGGGCTCGTGGCCCAGTGATTAGAGGCGCGGACTTCTAACTAACAGGCTGCGAGTTCGAGCCTCGGGTGTCCCACACTTCGGGGTTGGGTATGACTGGCTGACGACGGCTACCAGTCTCCCTTGTCTTTGTCGGTAATGCCATTCTGCCTAAATCTGTATTATGGCAAAGCATCTCATGGGTAAAAAGCTTGTTGGGGTCATCTTTAGACTGCTGGAATCTTTCGTAAACGCCAATAAACCCGACTCCTTGCTGCGCTGTCAGACGATGCACCCAAAGTCTTACATCCTAGGAGGAGAAGCTACGCGTAATCTTCCAATTCTAATGCATTTGCGGAGAATAAAACTGTTTTGGACTTTTAATCCTCTCAAGGATTAATCGTTAACTTGGAGGAGCTTTATATGCTCAATTCAAAAGCTTATGTGAAAATCCTAGTCGTCAACTACTGCAGAAGAGTGATTAATATTCATGAAATACTAACAAGGAGCCACGCTTGCAGCATAAGTACTAGTTAGAAAACTGGACAACTGTTTTACCTATATTCTCTCGCTTCATGACACAGCCCCGAGTGGTTCGGTCCGTCAGCTGGTCCCCTAACATACCCCGTGCGCTTTCTGGTAGATACCCGTTTTCAAATTTCCACTTTATTCTCCCCAACAATTAATTGCTAACTTGAAGAAAATCCGTCCAACTGATTTAATCTAGATTAACGATTAATTTCTCGGGAGAGTAAAGATCCAAACCTTAGAAACTGGAGCATCTACCAGATAAGGCATGGAGAACCGCTCGGAGCTGTATCAGACAGATTCAGAATATCGGCGTAACGCGTGTCCGGGCTTTTGCGTAGCGCTTGTACTATCATTGTGGAAGAATCATATAAAACTAATATAACTATACTGAGAAGTTAGCAATTGCAGGCGCGTATATAGAAGCATCGACTAACTGTGCAGTTTGGTCGGAATTCGTCAGTCGCCATGTACGCCATCCTGATTTGGCCCAAATTTAACTTTGGCGTCGTCGATATTGCGGACTAAGATGGGAACCACACGGAGGCGCGGTCATTAGGCTCCCACGTTAGGTTACTGGAGCCCTACCTGAATCTGTGACATCGTCTGAAATAAGGCAAACCTTGCTCGGCCCTCAAATGCGGCTTCCTGCTCCCGCAAGGCTCTGTCGTCAAGTCGAACGGCCGAGGCTGAGAAGCCGAGATATATGTTTGCCAGGAGAATGCAAGGACGAGAAGGCCCACCAAAGGGCTCTGAAGCGCAGACAGTGAGACGCTAGGCAAACTCAGACACTGATGAGCGCACGCACGACCCTTGGAAAGCGATGGTACAAGCCGGATTATTTGGTCTCTCGTGCTAGATAACCGCTTTTGTCAGAAAATTCAGATGTAAAATAAACTTGTCCCAGTGATCCCACTTCATCCCAAGTTACTCAATCTGGAGGTGGTATTTTTACTATCGCGAAATGTACTACTTTACTGCTGCTAACTGGGGATTAGTCTTTGAAGGTGAGACGTCGCAATAGAGGCTCCTTGAAGTAAAACAGCTGAAAGAAGCAACTGATTGATTCTGGCTGGTAGGAGTATGCGACCCCAAACATTTGAAATTTCTCTGAACACCGTTGGACGTCACTAAACTGGCAAAACATCTGTTAACTGCAAGCAGTGTTTATGAGTGGCGTATTCTTCCAGAACTCTGACCAGACCAGACATTCGATAAATCTAAATCCACTACTGATAGTGAATTTAGAGGGTACCACTCTTACATGTCGCTTCATCACGCCAAAACCTCGGATCTGAGTAGCTTAGTTAGGTCAGTCACTGAGCTTCCGCCTAGTGGACTGGCGTAGCCAAATAATCAAAATAGGGGGGTCAAGTGAATTTCCGCGCATCACAAGCTAACACCACGAACATATCCGGGCTGAGCATTGTGTGATTTGGCATATTTTCCGACCAGAACATCAACCCCATCTACAAGTAAGCTTAAGTTAAGAAGGACCACACTTTCTCCAGGACAAAAGGTGACCGAAAGGTAATCGATTGGTCGTATGTAGACGATGGTACGCACAAAGAGGAGTTAGCCATACAGTGCACAGTCATATCAGTCTTGCATATTTTATATATTCGTCATACATAAAAATGATAGTTTGGCAAAATCAACTAGGTGCGTTGGTACTTCAAACACTTGATGGTGATGGTGATGATGATGATAACGTCTTATTTCCTACTATTGGCACAAAGCAAGAGGAGTTTCTTCAACCACGTATAGTGGCAATTCCGGCGCCTGTCATCAAGTGCTGCATCAACTGTTCTTTGGCGTCATCTGGCAGAAAAGAGGCCCGTGCTGCACGGAAGTTTGCCTTGACCAGCTGGTGAGCAGTCATACCAAGTTCCCTCATACACATGATCTGCTCATCGAGGTGCCATTGTCCGGTTACGGTGGGGTCATCAGTGTTGATGGAGAAATTCACATCGTCACGAATGAAATGGTGTATGGGATGCTGGTTCCACGCAGTTGGTACGGAACCCGTAAGTCGACTGGAAAGAGGGCACAACTGAGGACAAAAGATTGTGAATGGTGACAGACCCAGTACTCTTTATGTGGGCAACAAACTATTGGATAAACAGCAAAATTCCGAAAAAAATTGCATGAACTTTATTAACAGTGGTCGAACAATATAGCCAACATGACAAGGAGGATCGGATTGACCATTTTTACCTTACGATCATTAATACTACACCAAACACGGACCAGAAAAACCTAGACTCGATTTCGGACCCGTTGGTGATTGGGCGCTAAGCCAGGCACTATCATTGAGTCACGGGCTCGCGACATGCCGGCCAAGACTTCGAATGTCTAAAGGAGCATGGGACTGGCGTTCAACGTCATATCCTGATTGGAAACAAGAGATCTAGGGACAAATAGGAGAGTTGTTTCGGGGAACGCCAACCCTAAAAATCTTATTCACTGAGAATTAAAAGGATACTTCATTTCTGTCGGTTAAATTTAGATCATGCTTGTGAACAAAGACTGTCCTAGAATGCAGCATATTTAAATAAATTCCCCACGCTACGGCGGCCGCATAAACACAGCTTGGGCCTGGCCGGAGCGAGTTCCCTCTGGCAAAAGAACCGACTACCCTGAAAACGATGTCTCCTATTCAAAAGTGTTGTGGCAGATTTCAAATAATTCAATTTGACCCAACTGTGGAAGACTCGGTGCCTCGGTGGGATTCGAACCCACGACTGCAAGGGGAGGCTTTAATAAAGCCACCGCTCTAACGATCTGAGCTGCTAGGCCCAACCGGACGACGCGAGGTTAATCATATCTAGACCATGTTTATCCGCCCAGTCTACTTCAGCGTCTGGAATCCATCAAATCTGATACAGTAAGCTAAATGCCCAAGCAGGATTTCCTAAGTAATACATCTAGAGTCCACCAGATGACTACTAAAACACCCTGAATTACATGAGCCTGATAGTCATCTGATGGATTCTAGATGTATTACTTAGGAAATCCTGCTTGGGCATTTAGCTTACTGTATCAGATTTGGTGGATTCCAGACGTCACAGTAGATTGGGTGGGTAAACTTGGTCCAAATGTGATTAAACTCGCGTCGTCCGGTTGGGTCTAGTAGCTCAGATGGTTAGAGCGTTGGCTGTACTAAAGCCTTCCCCTTGCTGTCGTGGGCTCGAATCCCACCGAGGTACCGAGTTTTTCACTATTGGGTCTAAGAGATGTCTCCTATATCAAAACTGAGTAAACCGTCTGCTTTTGGGCTATTTATTTGGCCATTCCTGATTCCACAGAAGGTAATTCATACACAAACCGCAATGAAAACGTCCGGTTGTTTAACCAAGTTTATGAAATACCCTTCGTTTGTAGGAATGTTAGCAAGGCAATACATATGTTTAGTTAGTGGTACTTCGTAAAAAGCAGACGAACATAAAAGGAAGCCAGCGACTGCACGGACTTATAAATACATTAACAGCAATTGAAATATACGGCAAAAAGTAGAAAAAGTGCAAAGCTGTGAAGAAGTAAGAGTCTTTAAAAAGTGCTCGGCAACCCGCAAAAGATCCTGGAATCATCTGAGAATAAAACAAAATTTCTTCGAAGCTTTGCCCCCCCCCCCCGAATTTAGTCTGGTTTCGCGTAAGGGTTTAACAAAAACATGAAAAGCTTCATTGCATGCCTAGCAGAGCTCCAGCCATACAATTACAGTAGTATGGGCACGCTGTATGCGTGATTCGAGTATGTTGAGATTAAAACTGAGATGTTTTGACAGCCGCGTTTATTTTGAGACCTGTGGCGCACTTGCACGGTGTCTATGCCGGGATGCCGCCCCGTCACAGTGACGACCCTCCACTTGCTCACGCCGGATTGGTTGGCAGCGAATCTGCATGCTGTATGCACTGAAAAATCGAGGCACTTTGCGCCTAGTTTTGTTTAGTCTAGTCACTTCCAGCGGTATTTTTCGCGACTGTATGGGCGTGCAGTTTGCGCCCTCTAACATAACAAGCCGATAATTTAAAAGATTGATAATGGCAACGACCTGGAAGTAATTTGGCAACCAGCAGTCGGCGGAGACTTCGGGTGAAGTCCAAGAAAGTTAATTTTCGAATGCGTGTATAGAATTAGCAGTAGCAGCTTGAAAGGAAAACCAATAAATCACATTGAAGCGGAGCTATATGCGTCTGCATTCTGGGCTGGTTAATATACTCGAAAAGTGCATGTACCCAAGTTCTGTCTGGGCATTTAACTGTATGCATATACTGTGGCTAGTATCACTGCATACAAGAGGAATCGGCCCTTAAGTGTACGAAAAACTCTCATAATAGTATGTGAGCCTAGATAAGCGTACTTCATCTGTGTGGTATGTCACGGCGAGTCTGGCAACGTCAATCATCAACGTTGTCATCAGCTTATAATTCCGATACTTTTAACAAAATCATAGTTACACTATCAAGCATTTGTGTAAGTAGGTTTCTAGATCACTTCGAAGATTTCCTCTCTGATATATGCTACGTCTGAGCAATGACCCCGCGCTGGGACGCTAGCAAATGCGACTTGTGATGTCAACTGAATAATTCGTCATGATTAAGGCGAAGCACGGGCATCAGTAAAATCCAGGCAAGTAACTCGACTGCATGGTGCATCCCCGTCACGCCGCAATATGTATCAAAAAGTGAAGTTTCGGTGGGGCAGTTCACATGAAACTCTCCTTGCGGCTTTGTGCGGTATGTTTGCTCATACGACAGGGCACATTTACTGGCAGAATGCAGTTCAGCAGTCCAAACCGGTACTATCTATGCTAAGTCACCTATGGTCATGATGACGGTTACATTCAAAGCACTGTTTAACGCAATTCTGACAAGACAGACATAGAAACTACCCTGATTGGCCACATACTCTATGGAAATTATTCTTCATCAACATGTGCTCCATCAATCTTCGTTTATCAATTCCCATATCCAACAGTTCAGGGAAACCATAAGAATACACTTTTGCTTACCATTTCCAAGTATATTTCTAGCTGAAAACTAGATATGGGTTTCGAAAATTAAAGATGTCACTGATGAGCTGAGTTCTCAAAGTTCAAACGATGTACAACGTAGAACGGACAGAGCCTTGTATGTCCCAGAATCGTGAGATTAAAAGGCATTGTGAAAAACGTCCCCCCAACTGTCACGTGTCAAACTGAGGAATCCTTTTTTAGAAGTGATCACCCCATTCTCGCTAGACAATTAGTTTCCAATTAAACTATCTGCTGGCACATATGAGTTGGACCAAACGAAGGCCACCTGCAAACGAATCGTAGCACGCCAAAGCAAAGCGACAGCAGATCTGGGTTTCAACAATTATAAATGCTAAGGCGACGACCAGTTTTTACTCAACTGCTCTGCTAACCTGATTCTTATCAGTATGTAGCATAAGAAAGGTGTTAACAGGTCATTCATTTCGACAAGGAACCTGGCGGCTCAGGTGAACTCTCATAACGACTGAAGCAGAAGTGACAAATAAACATCATCAGAGGGTGCGTCTTGCCTTTACCTACATTGAGATGCAGTTCATGTTTATGTAAGAGAAGTACTTTACCCAGACAATATCATGGCTTCTGGTTCCTGACGCCCTTCTGCTCGCAACAGCACGCAGATAAGTGCGTGCACTTCGTCAGGGCGTGGCAGGCCCGTTGGTTTCATGCCATTTACCTCCGAGTGACGATCGTTCGGTAATCAATCACAGTGTGTCTTGTTCCCTCGAGACTTTTATGTTTAAATGCCACGCGCGTAGCACTGCCTGCCAGGGCATAAATTTACCGGAGAGATCTGTATACAACAACCTTTTCACCGACCAACGATGAAATCAGAGACATAAACTCACTCGGAGGGTGGCTATTCATGCGCGGCCTGTGCACTAGAGGTGGAAGGGAGCTCAATTCCATGTTAGTTATTTTTATAACCGAGGGCATGCGCAAACCTACGGAGGCGCAGGGCCAACCACAGGAAACATTTAATGTTTAAGACGATGTCGCCCATCAGACTGATCATAACGGACAGGCAGAAACGAAAGTGAAAGGACAAAAAGACGAAAAAGCGGAACAAGTAGGGCAACTGAGTTGAAGGCTGTATATAAACATGCAAAAGAGGGAAAAGAAGGGGGGTGAAAGGGAGGAGGAAGTTAAATTAGGGCTAATAATAATGACGGTAATGAAACTAGAGCAGCGGAAGGGTGAAGGAGTCCACACAACAGTCGGTAGAATGTGGATCGTTTCATACGGGAATGGTGATAGTGGAGGTCTTACGGGTGGGACAGCACGCCATACAATAAGCGAACGAAATGCAAGAAAACACAGGAATTGTTTGGATTTCTGCCGAAAGCCTTATCGTACGCTTTTGTATGACGACGAAAATGAGCTCGTTAGTAAAAAAATAAAAAGCAACTCTTAAAAGTAAACGCAGTCTGAGTAATGGTTCGAGGTCATGGAGAGTATTTGTTTTTGGTGTAATATAAGCAAATTGATGTCAAAATAACACCCCATATGACACGATCAACAGTTTACCGGCAGTTGTGTGGGGTCCTTCATCCTACCGTTTACGACATTAGGAATAAGAGGGCGAAGACTGAGACGTGTGGGGTCAAAAAATAAGAAAATTGCTTTTCCTCGGGGTGGAACAGTCCTGTGACATTGGTGGGGTTCGAACATGTGACAGTAGGGTATGACCTTGGCACAACTGACGCCATAACCCACTGAGTTACAAAGCGCCGACTAGAAGTCTTGAGTTTATCACATTTGGACTAATTTACTTGCCCAGCGTGCTAAAATATGCGGAGTCCACTAATCCCAACTTGGCGCAAACAACACAAGGCATAATCGGGGCCTCTTAAGTAAGGCGGTTAGAGAGCCGGTTGTACTAAAGCCATGTCTTACTGTAGCGGCTTCGAATTCTGCCGAGGCCACCGGGTTCTTCGTATTAGGGCCAGTCAGATAAGGAGGATAAAAAGTACATAGGCGTAATAGCGATAAAGGGAAAAAAAATATGAAATGTGGACAGTGGCTTTCAGGAATGCTAAAATTAATAAGCAGTAGTAAAGAGTTGAGAAAGATGATTAACAACTAGGAAATAATTGTGAAGGAATGGTTGAAGGAAGGAACGAATTGTCAAATTCTGTTGTCTTAGTGGGAAACTTTGAGACCTCGAAAAAGACCCGACAAATTCGCACTTGGTGGTCGATAATATTTACTCGATATCAATGGCTGGCGGAACTGTTAATTAGATGTGCGCACGCGTTTTATCTGCATATCTATAAATATGGTTTTCCAGGGCTCTGCCTATCTTCTCTATATATGTTAAAATTGTGGTGAGTGCTGATTAATTAACAGCAGTAGTAGCGACGGAAACAGCACGAATATTAATGACAATAGTAATAAGGATGTCATTAAGATGGAAATCTTGCGATCATAGACAAGCGAGGATGGAAAAACTACTTCGGTCTTATCTGTAACTATCAGGCAGTCATATTTCAAACCAGAGCGCAGACGACTGCAGATTTAAACCTCCTATTCCTTCCTGAAAACTGGACAGGGCTGTGATCGCCACTCCCATATGATCATGAGGCTATTAATATCGTTGTTAGAGGTATTGTTATCAGCAGCACTAACAGTAATCGCAGTTGGGATAGCGGTAACAAGATTGGAGGCAGAGGTGTTTGTGGCACACTGAATGAGGACATTTTCATTGGCAGCGGCAAAAACTGACAGCGTAGGCAAAGTAGAATAAGTAAACGTTTAAGTTTAGACTGAATTTAGCAGCGAGATAAGAAATTTTAAATAAAAAACGACGGGCAAAAAGAAGGGGGCGAAATGAAGTTCGATAGGTGAGCTCAAGGCAGAATTACAGAAGATGGTAGTATGCACATCGGTCCTATTTACTGCCGTTGTTTTTACCCACTTTTGACGAAAGACATTTGTCAGTGCAGCTAGACTTACAAAGTGCCCGAGCAATTAGAAATCGAAATGAGATTCTGATTACGTTTGCAGAAAAGAATGACCAGACAGGATTTAAATAAAGTTAGTGATGGTGCTTGACATTGTCGTTGGTCGTCCAAATAGATTTAAGCACAAATAAAACAGGATTGAATGGGAATAAAGCGCAAGTACTAAACTAATTGGAGACCGCTAGTGAATTGTTTTGTTCTGTTGTTAAATTAAGCAATAGCAGAGGGTTCAGAAACTAGTGTTTAACGAGTAGACATTGATGGAGGATCGAAGAAAATCCATTAAAATATCGGATACAGCAGCAGTCGAATTTTGATTTTTTAAGACATTAAAGCAATCGTGTGACGAGCCTGGTTTAAGAAAGTATTTCGGACAGAATGCAACGCCTGCTTTCGATCTTGCCTTATAACTCCTCCTATTACGCAGTTACCCGGTCGTCCATTAATTTTATATGGGAACCTCGCGTTTCAGCAAAGCAAACAACAACGTACCGATGTAGTCTGCTTTACTTGAAAAACACATCAGCCAACCACAAAGCCCTTTAGTCAGGACATAAGCACATCCGTTCAACATTATAAGATTAAAGAAAAAAATAATGGGCAGAAACTTCTTGAACAAAGCTTAATAATGGCCTATAAGGAGGACATATTGGTGGACAACGGAGTTTGCATTAGAGATAAGATATGTGCTAGGTTTAGATAAGACTGATCTAGCGTTACCGTGGTAATTGGACGGAAAGTCTCGTGACTCGCTATTCATGAATGAAATACTGACAAAAGAACTTCTTAATATGCAATTTCAGCAAACCTCATAAAGGCTCACTCGCGGAGCGCCTATGTGATCAACAAAAGGACAGAGGGACTGTGGCAGTACCAGGGACCCTAACGGGAGGCAGACATAAATTCTCGTTCAAGGTGTTTTCCTATAAGACAATTTAACCAAATACCCGAACGTAAGTTACCTTTGCGCCGGCAGTCGCTTAGACGATAGCAACCTCTTTTTACTTATTTACAGCATCATAGAAGCCAAAACAGATATATTATCCCGGCAGTTCGATAAACAAGGAGGAATTTGCGTCACTTCGGTTTATTACGTTTAAACCATTAGAGTTGAACATATTTGGAAATTTAATAATGTCCCAATGAACTGACATTACCTCAAAATGAACGTTTTCCTCTCGTACCATATTGTAGACTGTAGGATCGTCAAGAATATGGTATCCATGACCTATCCGCTCAGCGTGCATTTCTTTGACGGCTTCTGTCACAGAGGCAGCAACACCATTCTCACCCGCGTGGGCGACTCTATGAATGTCACATTTAAATGCCTCTTCGAACGCCATTTTAATTTCAGGGGCTGTATTCTTGCCATCGCAGGGCTTATCGTCACCTACGAAAATAAAGGTTAAGAATGACCACATAGATAATATTCGTTATGTCTGCAAAAATATTAACTATGTGAGTGTCATCTGCCGTGTCCAACAGCAATCGCCAAAAATATGTTATCATATTGACTTTAACTGATATTATCAAAACGAAACTGACAACACACCTGCAACATCGATGGCACAAACACCGAAAGGCTTATAGCTCTTGGCAAGTTGAAGAACCTCGGATGACCATTCAGGCTTATGCCGCAGCATACAAAGGATGATTTGTGCCTGTATGTCGAACTTTTTCTTTCCTATCTCGACTGCACTGAGAACTGTTTTTAGAGACTCTTCGGGAGAAAGACAGGCACCGGCGAGCAAATGAGGCGAAAAGCGGGCTTCCACATAACAAAGCCCACCTTTATTAGCGCAATCTTCCAGGAAGTCGAGCGTAATTTGTGAGAGAGCCTCCTGATAAAAACATAAGAAAATAAATTAATACAACACAAGAAGGCATACTGGGGGCGCTTCATCACTAAGCACCAGCAAACAATACGTTCTAGGGCCATAACGGATGGTGTATGTGAGTTGCCTGTTCAATGAAAGTAACAGATGAGATTTTTGGAGCGTATATCAAGTAGTCATGTGGGCGCTATCATAACACATACCTACCTAATATGCGACCGTTGTATCTCATACTTGCGTCTGTCTCCTCAGTGAGATCTCTCACATTTCTGACAGTTAAAGACACGAACTTATGCATGTTCAATCTCTCACAACAGCGTATGCCAGTTGGCCTATTTGAAGAAACATCAGAGGCGTCCGGACACTTGACCTAAAATCTTAAACTTAAACGGAACACTTAGGGAATCGGTACAGAGATGTAACATACAGGCATCTAAAATCTAAGATGTATTAAACAATATGCATGCGATATCGATCGGCGATTCGTACCTTTAGAGATATCAATAATTGGAGAAAATGAATGGAAAACAAATAAATTAGGGCAGTGGCAAGCGGCGTTGCACCCTCCAAGTGTGCCGCGTGCATTTTAAATGTAATAAACACATACTCCCCCAATCATATTCCAAAATCCAAACAATGCACAGTCCTGCAACAGAAAGGTTTTTGATGCGTATATTTCCTGTAACTGAATGTCTCTCAAAAATCCAAACACAAATTTCTAAACGAAGGTAAAATAGTCACACAGAATAATTAGGTTGCATAATCACACTGCTCTGCTTTCTATCATATGGTAGTAGCACAAAATACTGTGGGGACACATTGAATACTTAAAAGTTCCTTAGCGAAGATTTTCTACCTATGAGAATATATTCATGTGTAAATATACATATATATATATATATAATGTCTCAGTGATACATAGGATTCTTCAGTATACGAAACAGACCCACAGTCACGTTTATTGCATGCTTCGAAGCATGCAATATCTCTTCTGATCAGAAGAGATATTTTTTCAAAATTCCGACCGCATACAACGCCTAAATAGTTTCACATTTTTTTCACAATTTTAGATTTTGTACGTGCAAAAACAAAAGTTCATGAGATCGTAATCATGTTTTTAAAAAAGCTAGCTGCGACTGAATCATCATTCACACGGAAAACCTTAGACCATTTCTGCTAATAATCGGAGCCTAAATGTTCTGAACCAAATAAACCTTATCTCCCATGGCAGCAAAATAAATTTTACATGCATAATATTTTTGATGATGAAAAGCGTGCCCTTATACTGTTGGCAAGTGCAGAATGATTACATGTATGTAATTACATATATAGATTTATATATGTAATCCTACTACCCTAACCAACAACAGAAGAAGAATTATACCGTAAACTTACGGCATCTCCCTGAACGATGGGATTGATAACGTCGAATTTCAATAAAAAGTCGGCGAGGCTGTTTGGTTGCTGCACAGTTAAACTTTTTTCAAAATCACGCAGATTCGATGCGCAGAGTCTTATAGATTTTTTATGGGCAAGTTCAAATAAAGTTGACGGTCGGAAACCTCCATCTAAGTGAAGGTGGAGTTCGATGCCGTGTCTGCGAGGATTAAAGTTCATGGTGCCTTCCGCGCGAGGTCACCCACAAAAACTTAACCGATGGTTTGCTCGGGTTGGTTGGAAAGGTCAAGCAGACTGGAACGTTAAAACAAATTTTCGTGGGTTTCCAGATCAAACTAAAGGCAGCAAGTAGCTAGTGTAAAGGCAGGTTTTAGGGACGGTTACATGAGGATTTTGAAGTTCGGGCTTCAGAATTTGCCATCACAGAAGCAATCCCAAACTATTAATAGGAGGTCCTCTTAGAGAGCAGAAGGTTAAGCTACAAAAAAGGAGGTTGTGTATGATAGAATGAAAATTTGAATTCATCCATAGAGACGATTAGTAGAAAACAACCCTCTTGATGGTGCCTGTTAAGGAACACTTACGCATTTGATACTTCGCATGCACATGTTTGTAAGAAGGCGCGGTTGCATTGCGTGTTTTTGTTAAAAGTTCCAGTCGATTTCTGACAGTTCAGTCGATTCCATTGTCATCTTACACTAGTCATTCCACCTTGATACCTGGGAGTTTTTTAATGCGAAAACGGGTCATCTCTATGATAGCATACCTTGGTGTCAGGGAAACAGGCTTCAAGTAATTCAAGCACTATCTTATTTTCAACCAGTGACAGCCTCTGTATTTTGTCAGAGACTAGTTTTGGAATGCCTCTAAGACCTAGAGCACTGTGCTGTCCGCATCACGGCTGAATGCGTTTCTGAACTCAATGTAACGACGGTCTGCAGCCAGTCCTCAACGATTATTTCAGTAAATAATTCCCGATATTTCAGAACGAATGCTGACCCCTGGGCTGCACCGGGATGATTTTGACTGGGCTGCATTCGGCATTACTTTTAGTCATAACCGATCCACAAGCGCTCAAGCAGTGCATTGGTTGACATGCACTGAGTACGAGAGGGTTTATAATTATTATCACACGTCATTCACCGCGCAAAGTCTCATAGTCCGTCGGCTTAGTTCACACGGGCAATTGGTTTACGGCGGAGGAGGAAATAAGGGGGGGGGGGAGAGTTGGCGGATAGAGTATGAATGAGATATTCCTAGGCCCGATCAAATACATACGGTTCTCAGTAAGAGGCAAGTAGCCTGCTCCGAAACTACCACAAAGTAATAAAGGCCGAAGCTTAAGCATTTATCAACTGACAGGACAAATCGGTCCAACTCTAGCCTGACGATTCAGTTACAAAGGCCCTTCTTACTGTGGGCTTGCTCTATTCTCACTTATGCCATATCCGAAATTCTTATATTAGATTACACAAAGTGCAAGAATCGCATGTAAACTTGTTTTGCATGCTACTGCTCTAAGGAAGATTACAAAACCCTATTTATACATATGCAGGTGGAAAACATGCACATATTTACATAAAACTTCAGTCAACAATTAGTATAAACCATAGCGATAATCAAGTGTCCTTGTCATGGTCTCAGCGTTTTCCGTCAAGACAACCGGATTCGGCACTCTCTTCTTTCCGTCAACCATACAGTAGGAAAGAATTTGGCCCTAAGTTCAAGTTTGCCGTAGTTTGTTTTTGATTTGCATTGAGGGTTCGAGGCGTGGTCATTCGTGCCAGTTCAAAAGGTCACAAAGTTGAAGGGCACGATCTACTCCACTGACGATCTTAAAGGCCCCTCTATATGAGAAAGGAGGCATTTTTAATCTTTTCAACGGTCTTCCATAAGACGAGTATCTTAACCTGGCGACCATTCAAGTTGCCCTCCGTTAAACTTTTTCAAAAAGAGTACGACATTGTTTTGTACATGGACGCCATTCGTAAGCGCAATATGCTGACACTGACCGAAGAAATGTTTCAAACACTAGAACAAAATCCCTTCGTTGAAATTTTAGAAGGATCCCCTGATCGCATCTATTATACCCATGACCTTAATACCTTGGTGCAGTGAGACGATGGTCTGAGGGTAGACTTAATCCACGCACTAGGGTCTCCTGACTCATTAACTAATTCAAGTTGGTGACCGCCGACGAAGGAAAGATATCCAAATATAATCGTCCTCCTGTTCCTAGATAGTAACCAACTAAGTTGGTAATTGCTAAAACTGGCGTAAAGAGACCCCCATCACGCTATTGTTGTATACGATCAAAGTTATTTTGCAACTTTAACGCATCTATTGGCTCCTCTATTGCTTTTTACAACTTTAGATAATCTTCAAGAATTACTCGCCCGTAGTCCAGTTAATTCCGCAAACAGGCTGAGATCTGCCTGTGAGAATGTCGGCCAACTTGCTGATTTAAGGGCGCTGTGACTGCATGTGAGAATGTCGGCCAACTTGTTGATTTAAGGACGCTCGTGAAACAGACCGTAGTCGGCCAGAACGTGTCGAGTGTTAGAATCCCAAAAACGAAGAGCAAAACGCGAAAAAATATCTCCTCTGGGGAATCTTCAAACACGATTTGCAACTCAACAGCCAAAACCGCAGACGCCGGTAACAGCAGGACAATGAAAACGAAGACGCCGATAAAGGCAGACTCGATTCACACGCAAGATGTCTTAAGCGATGTCGCAAAAAAATTACCTGGCGCGGAAGCCATCTCACCTAAGCCTCTTGCTGTAAGTTATGGGATTTCTCTTCTGCCTGGAGACGATATACCTGGGTCACCCAGTTTACTTTTGCCCCCTTGTTCTGGCAACCACCCCGAGCGCACTACAGAACACGTATCTGAATGCGAAGACATAAACCCGTGGGTAGAGGGGAGAGGGAAACGCCGTGACAGGATTCTGAAATCACAGCCAGCCCTGATGGGTTGCTCGGGACAGTCGGTAGACAGTAAAAGTGTGCGTCCAAGCGATGACTCCGTAAATCGTCCTCGCCCACATGCAGCGCATTCACCAGAAAGACAGAGAAAGGAGGACCATGCTCGCCAGCAGTGTCTGGTTATTCAGGGTTTGTTAGAATCAAATGCAGTCAGACCTGAAGACCGTGTCTCAGAGGACCTTGCTTCTTTTCATGGTCTGCTAAATCATTTACTGCCGGCAGACATGGAAATAAAGGTTCTGAAAGCATTCCGGATAGGAAAAAGGAGTGAAGACAGGACAGTAGCACAACCACCTCGCCCTCTCAAAATTATGCTGGAGAACAAAGAGCAAATAAAGTTGATCCTCTCTAAAAAAAACCGATCTCAGAAACACACACAAACAGGTTTTTTTCAACCGGATTATTCACCAGCGGAACGGTTGAAACGCCGGGAACTTGTCTTGGAGTTAAAATCAAGACTGAAGGATGGCGAACACAATCTGGCTATCTTCAAGGGGAAGGTAGTTCGGAAATATATGTCGTGTCAGTGGAACCAGCCTGCAATACTACAAACGACGACAGCTACTCAGTTCAAACAGACACCTTCGTTGAACCACCTGATCAAGGCGCCAACACAAGTGAGCCCGTAGCGTCCAGTGATCTGACTGAATCAAGGCATATAAATGGAACCAATCAGGTTACGGAAGAGCCTAGAGAGCACGACGTCCGCTATAACGGAGTAATGCTCACAGCTGTTACAAATGCAACGGGAAATTCGGCTGGTGCAAAACTGAGGTGCTTGTACACGAATGCCCAAAGCGTCATATCGAAACTAGACGAACTAAAACTTCGCCTTGCCGAGCTGTCTCCAGATGTTTTAGCAGTAACTGAGACCTGGCTGTCCGGGAATATTAGCGATAACGAAGTAGCCTTGCCTGGACACCAAATTTATCGAAGGGACCGGGAACATCTTTAGGATGGTGGTATCGTTGTGTATGTGAATGACGGTCTGGCAGTGTCGGATAACACCAACAAGTTTGCGTGCAGTACGGAAGCTATCTGGTTGACCATCAAGGCTAACGGTTCCCCGTGTCTCGATGTCCTCACTGTCTACCGACCACCTAGGACAGACCGAATCGCCGACACTCAACTATTGGAGCAGTTGGAGAAATTTTCCAGTCGACCTAACATCATGATCATGGGCGACTTCAACGCACCAGGAACAAACTGGAATACCCTCCAAGCGTCAGGTCCAAAATCGGCATCCGATTATCGCCTGTTGAGCAAGACATTAAATGCGTGCCTCACACAACATGTCATATTCCCAACGAGAACACGTGAAGGACAAAGGGCAAACTGCCTGGATCTGGTCTTTACGAAAACACCAGACAACATAGACGAGATCGCCTCCATGCCGCCCCTTGGCCGAAGTGACCACGTAGTGCTTATGTGGTTTCATTCGTTATTCTCCATTTCACATACTCCAGACCACAAAAGGCGTAATGTTTGGCGGGGCGACTACAATCAGATGAGGGCACACTTATCCGGTCTTGACTGGGGCTCATTGTTTACGGGAAGTGCCAACGATGACTGGGAGCTTTTCAAGAATGTCCTTCTGCAGCTCATCAACAACCACTGCCCACTGACTAGTGTAAGACTGAGCAAGCGCCCTGGGTGGCTAAATAACAACCTAAAGAAAGAAATCCGCAGGAAGCACAAATTGTGGAGAAAATACTGCGTCACTAGACAAGCTGAATGCTTCAACACCTACAAAACACAGAGGAAAAAACTGGGGAAGCTGATCATGAAGACGCGGCAGGAATTCGAGAAGAACTTGCGACAAAAAGCAACGCAGAACCCTAATTTGCTCTACAGGTACATCCGACGAAGTACAAGGAACAGGCATCAAATCCCCTTGATAAAGACTACTGACGGCGATGAGATTGCTGATAGTAGGGATAAAGCTGCGTATTATTCACAGTTTTTCCAGTCAGTCTATACAAACGAGGCCAGGCTCCTTCCTCCCTCCACAGAAGAACTGCCGACCCCAAACGTCAGTAATAAACTCATCTCTGCAGACATGTCCCAAGAGTACTAGAGGCATTGAACGAATCGATGTCGCCAGGACCAA